AATCTAGAGTTATCCATATTTTCATTCAGCAATATGCCTTTCCCTTTGTTCCGCTTCGTATTTGATTCTAAACAACTTTCAAATGCTGCCAATCATAAAGTTAAATTTTCAAATATTTAAACCTTGTATATCAATATTGATAACCAGTACATACAAATTAATAATTAGGACACCAGAAAAGACTAATTATTTTTCAAATTTGCTACTGGAAGGGACTTAGGATTATATGCAAGAGGCTTGGATTTCGAAATCTGCCCACAACTCATTATGGGGTAGATAATTGATGGTGTGCAATTTTGATATGATGGAGTTGGCACAACATGTCCATTTATTTTTTCGCCATCTGCAGTATGCATCCCAAACATTCTAATTGTACTCAGTCCAGATTTATCTCTATTCTCATTCACTAATATGTCTTTCCCTTTGTTCTGCTCTTTATTTGAAGACAAACAACTTTCAAACGCTGCCATTCACAAATTAAAAATTCAAATATTTAAACATTCTAGATAAATATAGATAACCATTACATACAAGTTAAGAAATAAAATCATAAAAGACTAACCATTTCTCAAATCTCGTAGTGGAAGTGACTTTGGACTATATTCAAAAGGTTTGGAGGAAAAAACCTGTCCACAACTTGTTATAGGGATGCCAACTGGTGGTGTACAATTCTGATATGATGGAGTTGGCACAACAACATGTCTATTTCCTTTATCACCATCTAAAGCATACATTCCAGCCATTCTAATGGTACTGAATCCAGATTCGCCTGAATTCTTTTCAGACGTTCCATGACATATATATGTGTTGATTGACATATTTGTTCGCGTTACATCCCTTTGTTTCCTCATTTCATTGACATCATCTTTTAGAAAGCACCTCTTGCATCTCGACTGGGAAACTGTTCATGAATATTTTCAATTAAGATAAGCTTGATATATATGAAAATATTTAGTAAAAATTAACACCCTTAGATTTATAGGAACTGTCCATTTGTTATATCAGACAAAGGAGGACATCTGTTTTCTTTTTCGTTAGCATTCCCTCTGCCATTTGTGGGATCAACATTCTCTGTAGAACACATGAAATTTTCGAAAATGAGTTACAGAAAAGGAATAATATAAAATAATTCAACATACAATCTAACAAAAGATATAAAGCTTCATGCTCATTTCATACTTTGCTGGACCAAAAGAATTTCTCGATCGAAATAAGCTACTAACAAATAAATTGGATCATAGAAAGCCTAAACCATCTTTTTCAGAATTCATATTTTTTATGTTGTAGAAGACAGTACACCAAAATGAGAATGTATTACTAATAATATGTCAATTCTCAGTACCTGGAGAAGAACCCTTGATTTCTAGTCGAATATTTTGTGTTATAATTTAGGGTTTATATCTAACATCGATTAATTTATAACACGGAAAAGGTTAAATACATCAAAGCTAAGCGCGGCAATATAAGTTTTTACCATTGCGATCCGAGAAGTGTTTAGTCCGCTTTTGATTTCGTATGCATATTTTGTTTGTTCTTGCCAGTTTCTTCTGATCTTCCATGTCCAAGTAGCCTTGAAAATGGATTTCTGCTGAGAATTGAGAAATTTTTAAAAAGAGAGAGAGAGAGAGCGCGAAGAAGACTTGGGAATTTTTATGACTGAGACAGTGCGAAGACGGTTTGGGACAAATCGGGAATTATTTTAGAGGCATATGTGCTAATATGTTTTAATTTTTTGGATTTCTGTATTTCCCAATCCTTTTAATTTAGAGAAAGATAGATATATCCTAGTGGTCTTAAGTTTTAGCTTCTCATACCTAACGTTTTTCTTTTTCTATTTTTGTCATTACATTCAACAAACCTTTGTAAGCCAATATCTAGTTAAATGTACTTTTACTATTTTTTGTTATTGAACAAAAAATGGAAAAAACATGAAGCCACATTAAAGCTATTTTAGTTCTGTTTCAAACGCAGAAAATATTTGCACGCACAGAGCGAAGCCAGGATTTTTAGTTTATTAGTTCTTATTGAATTTGTGTTATTTACATGATTATAAAAAGATACTTTGTACATATTAAATAAATAGTGAACACAAATACATAGTTTGATCGGTTCCCTGCACACACATACTTAGATTTTTATGAGAAATAGCATAAGCAAAATCATACAAAAGTAATTACTACATAATAGATGCAGAGTGTACGGCTCTCTTAGAGCATTAGTATTTTTTTTTGTCATACTTTAAAGTGATTCCTACAGGTTTATAGACTTGATTGTATGTAGCGATTGGCTTCTTCTTGTTCTTGATTTTCTTTGGCATAATTATATTTTTCATTGGTAAGCCTAGTAAAATGTACCTTGAGATTCTAGTGAAGCAACTCTTATAAGTAACATTTTGATTTGTGAATAGTTTCTAAGTGTTCTGTTGGTATATTCTATACATTGTACTGGTGCATATAAATAATCTAATTGATGGATGGTGAATTTGTTATTTCAATGTATTTTGCTATCTGATGCAATTCTTCTGTAACGCACATCATTCGTGATTTCCAACTAATTTAGATTCCTTACTTTACTGCAGATTTTGTTTACTAACAACCCCAGACTACATCCTCTGTTGCTCATTTATCGTCCGACATTTAGTTAAAGCTTACTGCAAATATTAGGATTTTTTCGTATTATCATATTTACTCTTAAACGACATAATTAAAAAAACTATGCATTCATCTATTTGACCGATGCAAAGATAAATATTGCTGATGTTTACTGCAGAATATTTGTACAAATAATGAGAAGCACTTATATAAGGGCGCCTGAATGGAACTATACATGGTGCTGTCGGAGGAGCTGGAGAAAGCCTTTCAGATTTTACCCCCATCCAAACTACATGGAGTATCTACAGGGTTTTTTGAGAATTTCATACGATTCAAATACCTTGAATATTGGTCGCTTTGCCGGTACCCTTTTCCACCTTTTGTAGTGCTAAGTTCTGGTTTAAAATACCTTTTGTAGTGCTAAGTTCTGGTTTGAAATACCCTTTTCCACTAACCTTTTGTTTGAAATACCTTGAATAAAATGATTCCTTTCCTGTGAGGTTGCAAGTGATATTTGCTGCTCATTCTGGTTGTTTTGAAACTGCTTGAATAAAATGGTTCCTTTACCTTGAGGTTGCAAGTGATATTTGGTTCTGAGATACAGGCTACAATTACAGAAATACTGGTAAAGCTTGTTTCTTGCCCTAACATCATGATTCTGTTGTTAGCATTCAGGCTACTGTCCCAGAATATCCCCTTAGTTTGGCTACATTTCATCTCAATGATACTCCGCAGAAGTTTCACTTAGTCGTTTTATTCTGCATTCCAGTGATTTTGTGAAATGTATTTACCTTGAGTTAGAGATGTATCAAAAGTAACATCTGATGCAATATGATTCACATTGGATAATATTTGATCTTTTATCTCACAGTAGTACTTATGTGATAATTGCTCCAAATTTGAAGGAAATGTTCATTGGAGCAGTCTGCTACCTAATCCCTTCTTTGGAAGTTAAAGACTTCTTTCCATTGATGAAAATATCTTCGTGATGAGAACTAAAGATGGTGCAGCAGACGCAATATTCCTTTGCATATACAAATAACTTATTATAATATTGTATATCGGGACCGATTTCAAATAACTAGATTTTATAGCCTGTGCATTACATTTTTTTTTTGTTATTGTCCCATTTTATTGGACTCTAATATCTGATACATAAAATATATATCAGAAGACAGGTGGTGGACCACAAATTAGTTCCATTAAATGATACCTTCAATAGTTCAATCTGTAAGCATTCCGATGCATAAGGGAATATCACATGAACAGAAGCATTTAGATTTCAGTTGTACAATGTTCCTCCTACTGTAATCATTCGAGAAACAGAGAGGAAAGACATTGCAACCACAACACTACTAACACTGCGTTCCACTGCACCAAGAGCTGATGCTTGGGCCTTAAGTCTTAAGGGGAAGATTTCAGGTGTTATTACCCAACAACAGTAAAGAAAGTGTGAATTTTCGTGCCCTGCTGCTTGCTGAATTTCTCTACATTAACATGCCCTGCTGCTTGCTGAATTTCTGCTAACTTTCTTCTTTTTATTAGTGAAGTTTCAGATTGTGAAATGCTCATAAAATTACGTAACAGGTATTCCAAAAAACGTATATGTGCACATTTAGGAAAACAAAAAGTATTGTTAGACCTAACAGTGTTATACATACACAACATAACATTAGTTAAATACTAAAGGAGTTTAATAGATTAGTCACCTCCATGCAGTCGACCAATTCGCTAATAGTTTTAACTTCTACAGTTCCAGTAGCCAACTCATCGAAACAGAATAACTACGCTGAGAAGGTATTTGACTGATCCTGGCAGAGTTAGCTTCATTGACACTTTCCATTCTGTATTTACGCAAGCTTGTATTAGTTTTAACCATAAACAGTTATTTGTGTAGTATCCACATAAACTTAATTTATGAAATAACTAACCTGGACTTAAAATCAATAGCTTGAGGAAGATCCAGGTTAATCCAGAGCTTTGAGGCATGCCAAGTATTACGCACAGAATATTTGCCTATATATAACTTTAGTTTCTGAACCAAAAAATTAACATAAAAAAATTATCCCATGTCATCAAGACAATAGAAATACCTTGACATTTGTGAGCTTTTATCAACTGCATAACAATTATGACCGGCTGATGGGGTGATCCCTGTAAATGTGGCAAGATTTGGTCAACGAATTCTCCCCAAAATGTTGCCGAGATATTATTCCTCCTGTGTAATTTATATAACAACTTAATTAGACAACGATAAGTAATCATGTTAATATATAACAACTTAATCAGACAACGATAAGTAACCATGTTAAAATATATAACAAAGTAAATTCATAGACGCAATCTTACTCATGATCTTCAAGTTCCACATTCATATAATTGCTGGTTTTATCACCTTGGTTATGGAATTCTACCTCACCATAACTTACAACCTCTCCAATGACATCTATAATAATTTAAAAAAATAATCAGGAGAAAGTTGATAAGACATTAAAATAAAAGAACTGCGAATTGAATACTTACCGAAGAGTTCACTTTCTTCAACATCAATTTCGTTTATCAAATACTCATAAGGTTTTAAGTCGAAGATAGTCATACCAAAAAGATGATCATTTGCTTCCTCTATAATCGTTTTATGAGTAAATGTCAACTTCAATTTATGCCGCGTGTATTTAAGTTTTGTATAATTTGGTCCAACCACAAAGTTCTTCATAATGTACAAACCCAATTTTTTTATCTTTGGTTTGAACATATGTATAAGTGACCGACCAACAGTCGCATGAATACGATTGCCCTAGAATCAAAAAATTCATAATTAATATAGAGTCAGACAAATAATCAGTTGTACAGTGTTGTAGTCAAACTTTTATGAAAAAATAAGTGCAACTAAAAAAGAATGGACCTTTTCGTCTTGAATAATTAATTCAAGGGAGACGGTGTTGTCTGGTTTGTCGCGGTCTGGAACATGCCACAATCTCACTATTCGTACCTTCAAATTTCAATTCATCTTGTTACTCGACATATTGCAAATATAGTCAAATGCCGTCATATTTCTTCTTCGAGAAAACTTTATAAGAGGATTGTCTTTCAAATGGCGTCAAATGCCGTGCATATATATATATATATATATATATATATATATATATATATATATTATATTATATTA